CTCTCATCATTCTCGTTACTTAACATGAATATGATCATATCACTAAAATATCTTTGAAATTGCTTATAAAATGTTTCTGAAAGATGCATAATATCACAATTTGATGTCTTCGAAACAAGTCAAGATGCAAAAGCTTCAAACCAAGTTGAAGAATTTTCAAGTGTGTCCCGTTCCGGAAGCGTTTAAACAGCGAGGAGTGCGACTCTTTTGTTACGAAACGGCACGGTTTTGTTTCATAAACGTTGTTTCTTCTGCACACTATACAGTAATCGAAGGATCCAAGAGGTGGACTGAGTCTCATTTTCGACGATGGCGATGTCTATTCTGAAGCTAAGGAATTCACCGGCTTTGAGATCGGTCTCTAATAGTGCCCGGATCGGAGTTTCATCGAGAGGTTTCTCAAAGCTCTCGGAGGGCACCGACATAACTTCGGCGGCGACCGGCGTTTCTCTCCAGAAAGCTCGGAGCTGGGACGAAGGCGTTTCCTCCAATTTCTCAACCACACCATTGAAAGATATCTTCAAGGTTTTCGAATCTTTCTTAATACTGGAAATTTCGATTGGAGGGGAGATTTTCAATTTCTGACATAACATTTGTGTAATTTTGTGTATTGGTTGTTGCAGGGGAAGAAAGTTGTCATCTTTGGTCTCCCTGTAAGAAAATTTTCCATCTTTTTTTTCAGCTTTCTTTTATGTATTGATCATGGTTTCTGTTTCTGAGCTGTGTGTAGGGGGCTTACACTGGAGTTTGTTCACAGCAACATGTGCCTAGCTACAAGAGTCACATTGATAAGTTTAAATCCAAAGGCATTGATTCTGTGGTCTGTGTCTCTGTTAATGATCCGTATGTTATCAATGGTTGGGCTGAGAAAATTGGTGCCAAAGATGCAGTAAGTAGTTCATTGATCTTCGACCATTACATTGATCTGCTTGTTGTTACTTTAGAAAACTTCATTTTGCAAACATTACATATATTATTCGGTGGTGAAGATGGATCATCTAGGAATTTCACATCAATAGATGATAAAAGATTTGATTCTATGATTAGAAGGACTTCCTGCATCAGAAATTTCATAATACTTGATACATGGATAGCATTACAATAGTTTTCTATCTTTTGCGAGCTAGATATTCGAGGTTTGCTCATTTGTTCCTTTGTGTGCATGTCTTTCTTATTATGCCTAAAGTATATCTTTGTTCGGATAGCATTACATCCCAGCACAATGACTTCATCTGATGCTCTTGAACATTTTTCATTCTAGATTGAGTTTTATGGAGATTTTGATGGGAAATTCCATAAAAGTTTGGGGCTAGACAAGGATCTTTCTGCTGCATTGCTCGGACCTCGATCTGAGAGGTAAACCGTAAACCACTGCAAAGTCCATTTGTAAAAAATTCATATCCTTGAACCCATTGATCTTATAGATTGGTTGGCTTGTGATGTTGATGTGCAGATGGTCAGCTTATGTAGAAGACGGTAAGGTTAAGGCGGTGAACGTGGAAGAAGCACCGTCTGACTTCAAGGTGTCAGGGGCAGAAGTCATCTTAGGACAAATCTAACGAGTGTTTCTAGAAGTTGTTTTGCGCTTAATCTTTTCTTTTGAGTTACAACTGAAAATAAGTTTGATCCGAACATGTCCAAAGGATCACATCAAGTCACACACAAGTTTACTCTTTTGTTTCCAGTTTCCACAGTTTGAATTCCAGTGTTCGTTTAAGGTGAAAAACATAATGTGTTTGATCCGAACATGTCCAGAGGATTATCATTCAGTTTCGTTTTTTTTTAAACATAAGAAAAAAAAATCAACTAATTTTAACCGAGTTAGAATTTGTTTCAAATCACATCTCTTTATTCAGATTGATCACTTGTAGGAAAAGGTTG